AATAATATTTTTCATCGCATCAATAATTTTTTCTTCTTTTTCAACCACATATTTCCCATCATATTACTATTCAAAATTAATTTTTTCCTCAAAAATCTCTCCCAAACAAGCTCTAAATAAACAACTTGAATTATTCAGCTAAACAGCGCTACACCTAAAAGTAGTCTGTCATGAAAGGACCATAACCAATAGTTATTAGAAAAATCAAGAGAGTGATTGTAGTTAATAGATCACTATCACCATCGCGACAATATAATTATTTAAGATTCAAAATTCATTCGTACTTCATAAATCATAGCCGTGACTCGTGGGCTGAGGGGGGCGTCCACGTGTTGGTGGGTCCTTAATTGAGGTGAGTAGTAGAAATTATGTGATTGGACAAGAACGAATTGAATTTGAGAAGTACATTGAGGGCATGTTTGCCTAAACTTAAACAATTATGATTTAGTCGATCAAATATACTGATAGAAAAACATAATAGGATTATTAATCAAAATAATAATCAAATCCTTAATTCTCAATAATATAACCATAGATCTTACTCTATGTTGAAATCCGGAAAAATAACAAAATATAAAACATACTTTGATCCATGATAATCTGATTCTTTGCCTGGATATGTTAGGATCTTCCAAATGATTGGTGATCTTTCCTTAGTTTTTTGCTCTCTATTGATGGGGATGTAGGGAAATTTGAAGAACGCCAACAAATGAGGACCATAACCATATAAAATAATAGTAGTAACTCAATAGTCACTATCTTTCAGTTGCTTCAAATTGGCCCCTCATCAATCTAAAACAACACTTAGATCTCTACACTATAATTCCATGAATTCTAATACCCATTAGTCACAATACATATTTACCGGATCACTTTAATTGACACATATCCTTTAAATTATAGTACCACACATTTCAATATACAACGTGTTGCCCCATATATGTTGAAATTATCCAACATATACATTTTATCTACACATTTCGTTGGATATATAACTTACTATATTCAATACCTATTCAAAGCATGTTTGGGAAATGTTCATAAAAAAATTAAATAGAAATTAACGGTGAATAAGTGGGGTATCACATGAAATATGTGAATAAAAAATGGTTCGAGTATTTATACACAATTTATAATTGTTAGAGAAATAACTTATTATCTACACATTCACTAAGCCCTTGTTTGATCCCCTATTATTGTCAAAATATATTTTTCCATCTATTATTTTCAATCATAAATATTCAATAAAATAATATTACACGTAAATCTAAAAAAATAATTTATTTTTAAACAAAAATTCTCCATCAAATCACTATTCTAAAATACATTTTTGTCAAATAATGGGACTCAAACATGCCCTAAGATTCACATCTTCTAAACAATTAACCAAACAAGTACTAATACAACATAGCTTATGTATCACTCAAGAATTTCATGGAAACAAGAGATGGTAGATCATACTGGTTTGTGTGGGCTGCTTGATGATGGAAGAAAGTATCAACACATTAACAATGACCATCAATCATGAATTCTCCTCGTTATTATTAATTTAGGGTCTGTTTGGACCAGATTTTAATTTAAGTTAAAGCCAAAAAATCAATATCAACCATTTTTTTCATGAGTCTCACATTTTTTCAACCACACATTTCAAAAACTTTTATCACAATCCACTTAAAATCTGATTTTAATCTACATCAAATACCATCTTAATCTTAGACGAGATAGAGATTCATTATTCATGAAAAAAAAACTCTTTACCAATTCGACATGATCGGTCATGAGCAAATTAGATTTCAATTTTTTCTATTTTGATTAATGTAAGATTTTTTGGTCTTTCCCAATCGAATTAGAACTCTTTCTCCATACATATAAAATGATCGTCGTCCCAATTTATACTCCGACTTCAAGTGTTTAGATAGGAAATCGTGTATTTCTTAATTGTTAACTTTGACTCGTCTTCCAATTTCAAAAGTTAATAAAATTGACATCATCGGGAATTGTAGAGAAAGTGGTGGTTACACATGCCACTTTCAATTCTCGCTCACGTTAGCGCATGAATTCTTAAAAATTCATAGTTTATCATGTAATAACCATGGAACATGAAGGAAGAAACGCACATGGGGCTGCATCCATTTGGCAACCACTCACATCGACTATGATTTAGCATGTGCAATTTTGAACTTGTACCCATTCATTCTTACATTTAGTACGTACTACTACTATAAAACATAAGTCAAATAATTTAACCATATTTCTTTCCTAGCAATGAAATTTATTGTCATTGCTTGATATGGATTTTTTGACATTGGTTAAAAATGAATTTGAGAAAAATTGATGCCTTTTTTAAGTAACATTAGTCTCCCAAAAATGCATTTTAAATAGTGTTATGATGGAAAATATGTGGTTAAAAAATAAGAAATTTTTTTGAATTTGCGTGTTATTATTTTATTGAAAAATGTGTCGCTGAAAATAAGAGAGAAAAATGCATTTTAGAAGAATGAGTATCAAACATCATGTAAATAGTGTTTTGATAGAAAATATGTGGTTAAAAAATAAGAAATTTTTTTTGAATAATATTATTTTATTGAAGAATGTATGATTGAAAATAAGAGAAAAAAATGTACTTTTTTTTATTTACTCTTCACTAAAAGAAGTACAACCTTCTCTTGGACAAAGAAAGGAGGAGTTAGCAGCTTGGAAATTAATGGACTATAGAAGTGCATAGGGCCCAATTATATTAGAAAAATTAGGGTCATGCTAATGGACCCAATGCCCAATCGCAATTTCCAGCCCAACATATTATTACTATCTATCGTACTAAATATGCATGTTATGACTTATTACACGAGTATGATTAGGATTTAGGTATATAAAGTTATATGAGTATGGTTATGATTTAGGTATATAGTTGTAGAATTAAATCACAAACAAGAGTGTCAGAAGAGGATTGAATTTCGAGGTCTAAAAAATGCTAGCTGTAGTTCGAGTATTACATTTTTGTGAAATTGTTAATTATTACCTATTAAGCATCACGTTTCTGACGATAAACGATATTGGTTATCAAAATTATATTCACCGACTTCTACAAGCAAATTAACTTTAATTTGCTATATAGTAAAGGGTTCAAGTCCAACGAATATATGGAGATATTCCTTTCAAAAAGGAAAAATAGAAACACATGAGATTTTTTTTTTTAAAGTGATATTTTAAAAATTATTTTTCCTACACTTACTTTTAACAACAAATTCTCCGAAAAATCAATTTTACACGAAGGCTTATAGTATTCTTTATTTTCTCATTTAGAGGGTTTTTGGTGTAGATTAAAATCAGATTTTAAGTGGATTGTAATAGAAGTTTTTGAAATGTGTAGTTGAAAAGATGTGGTTGATATTGATTGTTTGACTTTAAAATCAGATTAAAATTTGGCCCAAATAGGCTATTAATATACATCTAATGTCACTTAGTTATTTGTTAATTAATTGTCTAATTTGTATGTTTAACAGCAACGATATTGTAAAATAGTTGAATCAGGGCTAAAAGCTGCCAAGAATGAATCCGATTATAATATTCCTTTGCACACGATAACAAACAAGTCGTTGTAGTATAGTGGTGAGTATTCCCGCCTGTCACGCGGGTGACCCGGGTTCGATCCCCGGCAACGGCGTTTTAACATTGAATTTTGTTTGACATCTGTCTTTATATTTTCTACATGTTTCTTTGAGACAGATCAAAAATAAGAGGAAATCACGTGAGAAGATTTCCCGATTAAAAAAGTTAATGAATTTTTCTTTGACTCCTTTTTGGGGATTATTGATTTTCTGTTTTTCTATCTTCAATTTCTAATTAATCAGAATTATTAACTTCTGAAATTACAGAATTGAGGTTGTTGGCTTGGAATTGATCAGTAATCTTGAAGTCGTCGTTGAACTATATCATCTAAAAAAATTTAAACGATTAAAAAAGAGATAATCTCTTTCTTTCCTTCCTTCCTTCCTTTTTTTTTTTTTTAACTTAAATTGTCCCGTAAGTCGAATTTCGAAAACATTTTTTTTAGCCACAATTTTTTATGAAACTCGTGACATTATGGAATTAGCAGGATAAACAAAATTCTTCAAGACCATACAAACACATATGGTCAATGGATCATACTCCCGTCTAGTTCTAACTCAGATCAGCCCTGGCTTCAAAAAGAAAAGTCATGCACCAGAAACATAAGATCCCAACCAATTTTGTCGCCTTTTTCTTTACAACCTTATCGATTACAAGAATTGTCCACCTTTAAACTGTTCTTATCAATGAGATGTCCCATTCTGTATATCTTAAAGTTCAAAGAAAGGGACAACTTATATATATTTTATGGGACAGAACAAAAATAATGGACAAAACCACTGACTAGTCGTCTGCCAGTTATCGTTGCCAAGTCGCAATCCATTCAACCTAGCAATCCAATAATTCATTTGCAGATAACAAGAAGACGACACAATTATGAAAATATCAAAAGTCATATCCATTCTGCATCGAAGGGCTAAAAGCACCAAGTTCATTATTCTTTATAGTACGACACAACGAAAAAAACCAAGATGTACTAGCTAAAATTATATACAACTCGACACTACTGTCTTGTCCTATACTACCGGTAGGAAAGGATACTCGGATTCAAATAAACTAGAGAAAGAGCGGAATCACATAGTAGCAAAGAGAACTATAATATATCTTCCATATAAGAGAAGCTAGAATAAATCCCTTCTTCCCTGCATTAATATTTTCCTGCAAATTAAAATCGAAGGACAATTAATCACATCATCTACAAAGATAACAGTTGAGTTGAAAAAAGAAAAATATTAAAAGTTGTAATCAATCGCAGGCCAGATTTTTACATGATTGCTGCATATATAGAACAAAAAAGTCTAGATGTGTGTATTTGGATTTCAAGAAGAAACTGAAATATTGAATGGTAAATACCTAAGTATATGGTAATTCATATGCCATGGCGACGAACTCTAATAATAAAGAGATCCTGCCAAAAAGAGAAAAATAAATGTGTCGAAAAAGAGACGTCTAGCTACCATAATTGAGCCATGCACTAATCCGAAATCAAAGATACGTACCCTGCCACCAGTTCCCTCTGGAAGCACTGCCCGAGTCATCTTCTTCCCCATCTTTACCGAACTGATAATAAATAAAAAATATGTTTAACACATAGTTTAATTTGATTAACCTTCCCCATAAATTTATCTCTAGTCTTACAATAAAAAAGGACAAGAAAATTGGAGCAGTTCATTTCCTACCTTATTTTTCCTTTTTGTTTATGGCAAGAGAGTTACTGTAGTATTTGATTTTACTAATGGGAAATCTTGATAAAAACTGTCCTGTCAACGAGGCTTGTAAAAGGCAAAATTCCTCATTTTTACTATTTACCAGTGAGATTCATAATCACTAAGAGCAACAAAATGAATTTTTTCGCGAATTGCAATTTACACAGAAGAGACATCCACATCAGGTAACCACGTGATAAATGTGAAAGAAATTACTCGAACTTTCTTGTAATATAGTGCTTATTTACATTGGCTTAAAGAGCACTCACAGTAGTTAGTCCTTGGCTCTGAGTATTCTGGGGACGAGAATAGACATCTTGACCACCGTAGAATATTGATGAGCTATAATGAAAAGGTCGAACTTTTTCTTCCTGACAACCCAAACTCAGGTCTTTGCTCGGTGTGCTTTTTCTTTGACCTTCACCACTTCGAGTGTTATTGCCTGGAAAAAGAACCTGAAGTTAGTACAAATCGAAAATTATACCTTAAAGGGGGTAAAACACACATACACGCACCGATAAGAGTTGAAGTGTTACCAAAATTTCAAAGTTATTCCCAATCAAGAAATACTTCTGCAATTATGGACACCTTTTGAAGAGATCCTGAGAGAGATGAAAACTATACCATATGACAGGAACAGCTACATATGGGATTTGACAAAATTCCTTATGTCTTTGAAGCTTTTTGCATTGTTTTTCCAAATTTTCCATGTTTGCTTAATTAAGAAAAAAATCTTATACTAAATGAAGGTTTGAGGATTTACTTTGTAATTTGAGGTTAATGGACCACAAAACCAATTCTTTTCTCAAACATACCCATTTCTCATTTTTACAAAACACGAAGTTGAGATAGAAAGCAGAGAGGAATCGAGAAACAGAGAAGAGAAAAAGAAAGAAAAAGAAAAAGAGAAGATGATGAAGAAAGAAAGGATGACTAAATACTCGTTCGGATTTCGAAATAGTTCATTGATGGTTTGGTGGCCATGAGAGACAAGAAAACACGAAAAAGTAAAGGCTGCGAACGTTGCTTGCAGAAGTTCATCACAAAATCACCAAACATACATAGTATCATCATGGTAGAGTTAGAGTGAAGAGTTTGCAATGAATGTTACGGAGCCTAAGCAATTAGTGGGTAAATAAATTCAAGCAGATTTAGAGCTTTTCAACCGTTATCAAGAATGAAATAAGTCAATCTATAAGAGTGAAATTATATAGCTCAATAATTCATCTAGATCAAACTCAAACTAAATTTGACTAAAAGGAGTCAAAGTTAATCAAGTTCAGAACCCGTTTGTAACACGAAGTCGAAGTCGAGTTTAAGCAGCCCAAGTCTCATTTGAATTGCCTCATTAACATGCTTGTCCTTTTTTCTAACACATAATAAGTACATATGTACCAACCTATAACCCCAGTATTGACGCTCCAAACAGTATTTCCAGAGTCTTGCTTCTTCTGGGATTCCAGAGGGCGTAAAGATGCTTGTCTGGAGACCTAAAACAGATTCACTTAATACGAATTAGACAAAGTTAAGTATTTTGCAAATGAACCTAGTAGGAAATAAGTTAATTTGAAAAAGATTGAATCTGCACACAAGAAAACAGCATAAGTAGAATCGTTCTTCCTAAATCAGAGCCAACGCACATCAGGAAGCCTGAGAAATAATAAAAAAAAATCACTATACGTGTCAATATTAATGTTAAATCATCATTTCCCGAGTCAGAAGAATAACTACTAAACACTTACTCTCACATACAGATTTAATTTAGTACACACATCAGTTTTGATTGTTAAATCTTAAAATCTCCAATAAACTTCAGTTTTATTTTTATTTGAAAAGAAATAGAGGAATTCAGTAAAAATTGTACAATGTAGAAAACCCCATTATCTGAAAATCTAACAAAAAACATTCAATATAAATAATATACCTGAGTAGAAGGTGCGAAAATTGAGTCGAAAATCCGAGAAGACGATGATGCAGAAGATTCCTTTGAACCAAAAAGATCAGAAGTGAATGAAGAACCTGATTGTTTCCCTACATCCATTTTTTCTCACTCTTTAATAAATGAGAGTTGAATCAAAGAGAGGGTCCCTTATATATTCAACGACCACCGTCAAATAAACTGTAACCGCCAAGAATCTTTACCAAGAAACAAATAGAAAAACCCAGATTAAAGAAAATAAGGCGAAATCAAACGGGAAAAGGATGAGAAAAAGAAAACATAGGCACGTGAATGATCAACAATGTCTATGCTATATATGCATATAATGTATGAATGACAAATAAACTGCAATAAAAGAGACGAAATCCTGGCCTTTGAATGGCTCTTCCTCAATATTTTCTATTCTTCTTGATAGCCGCTCCCCCTTTCTCCCCAGTAATTGTTTCGATAGTAACTTAAATTATCGGGCTATAGTCGTTTTAACTTTAAATTGCATATAAGTGATCATTCAACTTTAACATGTTGCATTTGATCATTAACTCATTATGTTTCATAACTCATAAGTCACTGAACTATACATCCGTCACTAATGACGAATCCATGATCAAAGTTCAGTACGGGTGGATCGACTATTGAATGTTGATCGTTGATAATTGACCGTCGACAATCAACGATCGAAATAGCGAAGTCGTTTATTAATATTAATTAAATAATGTTAAAAATTATTCAATATATATGTAAATGCAGTAAAACATAAAATTATAAACATATGAAAATATAATTTAATACAATCCAAAATACTAAAAAAAATACGCGATATAGCCTTACTCGAAATGAGAGGAAAAAAAAAATTCATAAATGTCTAAATAAATGAAGTTCAAGTGCTCAATTAAAAATGTATCAATCTAATAAGTACGTTAAAATCACTCCAACATATTGACAAATTCATCGACAGTTCACTAGTGTAGATATGAAAACCTTGGACCGAAGAGAAGTAAATGCACCATTTTCACCACAAATAGTCTCAATCAAGAAATCCAAACAACCAATACATAACCACAAACCATTATCTCATTCACACCGTAATATTCAAAATTTTAGTCTAAACATTTCCGGAAAAAGATCTTATCAAAATTTTATGAGGAAATTTTAAAATAAGTGCTCTAATGAAAAAGCAAATACCCGACGATTCCACTTACTGAATACTCAAAAATTCGAATTCGGTTCGATTCGATTCACCGAACTAAATCGAACTATGTCCAACCCTATTGCCATCCATGATTGTACAAATAGATTAATCCTTAATTCGATAATGGCATGTAGATTTATGTGTTGTTGGTGTATGAAGGGAAATTGAAAATTTGGATCTTTGTTTAGCGAATCACATTTTGTTTTGATTCTATCTATTATCACATGTGAAATAAGGGATGGTATGAATTTAGCAACAGCTTTTCTCCTTGAAGAGAAGATATTGTAGGAAAGAGATAATGTGCAACTTGTTTACATTTAATTAGTTCAAACTTGTTTGTTATTAAATTGGGATCAAGACAAAAAACAAAAAAAAGTTATCCAGTGAAGAAGTCCGTGCTCCCTTAGTTGAAATAAGGGCAAATGATTTGATTCAATATTTTTTAAGAATCGACTTAGTGAAAGCCCCTATTTCATATATCGGGAAAAGTCGAAAAGGATAATCTATCGAGTTCGGGATTGATCTCTTATCATATTGCATGAATATCAATTTAATTTTTTTTTTCCATTTATTCCAATGCAAGAATTTAACAATCCTAATACCTTGATAGGATCTCATCGATAGTGAGTTAAATTTTAACTTTTCATAAATAGTTTGAATCCTTATTAGATAGTCAATTAAAGTTTATTACTAATGCCAAGAAAATGAGCGTTAGAGTTTCAATGTAGTAAAAATCATCAAGATCATCATAGCCATTGTTCGGTACAAATTATTTAAAATTCATTTTCAATCACACATTCTCAATCAAATAATTTTGTAAATGGATTCCATAATTTTTTTCTACTTTTAACCATATGTTTTTAATAATCGTTTTTCACAAAATTTATTCTCAAAAAATATATACCGAACATGCCCTATATGAAATCTCATCCAATTAAGTAGATAGCACATTCTAGCATGACGACACAAAAAGGCTTAATAAATAATGAAAAAGTCCGTGAGTACAGAAAATTTTTACAGGAAATTCAACAAGAAGACATCTATAGCTGCCAATCACAGCTGTCTTCCTGTTGAATTTCCTGTTAAATTTTATGTACTCATAGCAGGGTTCATAAATAATACCCTCATGGTATATTTTATTTTTATTTTCTTATCTAATTTTTCATAAAGTTGGATAAGATAAAAATCTCATTTAATTTGTGAACTTTTCGAACCACCCTTTGTGTACATATTGTCTTGGATAAGAGGATTAGAAGGGTCAAGAGACAGACCTAATCGTTTTATCTTGTCGAACCAACCATGGTGGTTCTTCTTCACACTCTATCTACCTATCACAAAAGTCACATGTTACTTTTGAAGCCTAAGTACTTACTAATAATGTGGGAAAGACACATCACATTATGTTGGTCCAATATTATTGTGATATTGTATTCTACGAAGTTAAATAATAATCGTTTATTGTATTAGAAGTCATAATAGACTGTGCTAGAGAGTCATAGGAAGGATGGATTTCTTTATAAAATGTACTTTTTTTTAAAAAAATTCGAGAGGGTCCAAGACTCCAAGGATGCAATGGAGACAACAAAGTGAAAAAGAAAAGAGTAAATATTATTTAGTACTACTGATGTTGTAACACTAATTTAGGTAACGTCAAATGATATTAAATATGAGATACAATTAAATGAGTAACTTAATTTTACATTTAATTGAATATATCACATACTGCAATCTGTCTTAGCATTAATTGTGCTAGATAATATTATTCGAACACTAAGAGGTAGGTGAGGTTGTTGGTCAACCATCACGAGTCATCGCATGCTCTATTTCTATCCTTTTTTGTCCGGCACAACCACTACTAACTTATCCATGCTACAACTTCATTTTTCTTCTCTCTACTAACAATGTCAACAAAATAAATAAGATTTATGTAATCACTTTTAATTTATAGTAACAATATAAGATTAATTTGTTGTTTTATATTACAAGATTTGTAATCAAGCGATCATAGATAAACTGCCTTCATTCTAGTTGTGTGCCCTAGACTGCCACCATCCCTTCAAAATTGGTCAACTGAAGAAGAAAGACATGCAAATTCAGGAATTCTTTTGAGAATAAACGGCCTTCATTCTAGTTGTGCGACCTAAACTGCCACTGTCCCTTCCAAATTGGTCAACTGAAGAAGAAAGACAGGCAAATTCAGGAATTCTTTTGAGAAGATTGAGGCAGTTTTTAGTATACCTATAGACTTTGCCGTACAAAAGAGACTTTACTCAACAATTTTTTTAGTGTAATTTCCATGGAAGACACTGGAGATTGGAGCAAGACCCAATCCATGAATTTGTACATTCTCCACGATCAATGGAGCTTCCTTCACCGTCACAACACTGGCAAACCATCCCAAGAGTAGAAAAAGCCTTCGAGTGTTTCACTGATCAATTTAAAAATTCACTTGATTACTACAAACAAAAAATGAACAAACCCCACAAATGAATTAAAGGAAAGGCCAAAAAAAAAAAAAAAGACACAATTAAGTCGAGTTATGAAATTGGCTAAACCCCTTGATCGATTTTAAGATTAACTCGATTAATATACAACGAACAAGACTCACAATCGAATTAAAGAGAAGGCAAAGAAAATAGACACAACTAAGTCGAGGTGTCAAATTGATCGGACCAATACAAAATTATCCGGGTGAGTCTTATTCTTACCTTGTTGAGGAGATAAGAAGGGGGCTGGCACTGCCCTGGCTTCAGTGGCGCTGCTTTCTTGATATGCAAAACTGGTTATAGACAAAAGCAAAACAAAAAATGGAATTGGCTTAAACAAACCCATTTATGGATGTTCCTTTCGGTTTAACGTAATTAATAGTTTTAGGCATTCCGAACAGATTATGATCTTTATATTATAGTTGATGGGTCATTGTATAATCTAGAAAGATGTCTCTTTCTTAAATAATAATGAATTCTCCCTTCTAGAATAGGGGGCAGACAGACACCCCCCCATGTCCCACCCGACGCTCTAACCATCCTCTGAGACGTGGTTTGAATCTTCCTCTACATTTATTGGTGTACTCAAGAGTTAAAATAGGGATGTCACAAAGGTCGGATCGATAGATGCTAAAATTCGACGTGATATGTAACTTTTCACAACTGATGTAGAATCAATCCTTACATGAGGATCAATAACACTCGTTTTAAATGAACACATGGCCGGTTTCAAGCCATTCAGCCTAACAAATGGATTTTAGGCTATGTTTGATAGCCCATTTTTTCCATGGAATGGAAATGGTTGTTAGATAGGTTTTATTTGCCATGGAAAATTAATTCCACACACCCCCCACACGTGCACCAATTGCCCAAAATGAAGGA